TGTGGAATGTTAAAGTGTGAGAAATTCGATGAAAAATGTGATAACTTTTCTATTTTTATACGTTATTTCTAATGTTATTGTACATCAAACTAATTGTGAAGATATTTTCCTTAGTAAATATGTATCATTACTACGATTCCAAAACATTTACATATATTAATTTAGCTTGAAATTTTAATCACTATACGCGATCATCGTTTATTGATTATATGTTGTTTAAAATGTATTCTAATCAGTTTTTTTTTGTTAAATGAATGCTAAATATAAAAGAATGATTCACTATTAACACGTTGATAGCAATTTATAAACGAAATACCTGTCGAGATGTGTCTAGAAATTATTAGAACTTAAAAATAAGTTAAGATTTATTTATTTACTTATTTATTCAAATTTATATTGGCTAAACATTATATACTTATGTATATTGAGTATATAAGATATTATTGATATGTGTCATTTTAAAGGGAATATCATGTACTATTATAATATTATAAAATATATATCTCCAGTATTATACTTTTCTTGTAAAACTTAAAATAAAAAATAAATACGATTTTTTGATATTCCCATTTTTAAGCATTATTTTCAGCCTTTATTGTTAATTTGACTAATTTTCTTTTAACAAAATAAAATGTGAATTCTTTGCGTCTTGAGAATATTTTTTATTTGAATGTAGCTATAGAAGTTTTTCAGTAGTAATCGTTTTTGTTAAGACAGTCTCGCGCGGTCGTAAAAAAATAGTGACTAATGTGCGGATAGGTCAGGCGAGAATCACTCGCGCGGGGTGGACGGTTAAGCGGATAAAGGATAATTCACGCTACATCGTGTCGCCACCGGGCCGTGCCCCGGCCGGGGCACGTCCACCGTGCGCTGGCCGGGCCAGTCATTCATGTTACATCGGGCTGTTTGCACGACCGTGGCTTATGCACGACTCTGTGTTATGTGGTTTTTGTCAGCTAGTGATTTCATCTATCGATAGACTTCACGCTTACATAAATATGCAATTTTCACAATTTGAATTGGCAGCTATTGCAATTGCCATCGATGATGAAGTATTGGAAAAACGAAGCGAAACTACTAAAAGAAGATTGGGTGTACATCCAACCTGGAGAAAGCGAGAAGCAGAAGGAGAATTTGCTTTACTTTACAAAGAATTAATAGATGATGAGAGCAAGTTTTATGGTTATTTTAGAATGTCTAAAGAATGCTTTACTTTTTTACTTGAAAAAGTAAAACCAGACCTAACCAAAAAAATTACAAGATTTCAAAAGCCTATATCTCCCATCGAACGATTAGCAGTCTGCATCAGGTAAATAATAAATTGATATGCACTAAATCACATAGTATTTAAAAATGTAGTATTACAAATTGACCCGTCTCACAACCATCTATCAGAGCTGGTTGTAAGATGGGTCGATTTTTTCTAAATACTTCATTTTCAATTTTTCAATAATCAAAATTGCATTGTGAATGAAAAAAAGTAAAAATTTAAATAATTCGCATAGTATTTATTCATTTCATTAGTCTGCCGTGAACTCTGAAAATAAAGTAGACAAATTATTAGATTCCAAAGGCGTAAGTTCCGAAGGCGAAGGTTCCGAAGGCGAAGGTTCCGAAGGCGTAGGTTCCGTAGGCGTTGATTCCGGTGTTGGTGTTGGTGTAGTTATCGGAACCGGTGCATACACCGACCTTGAATTAGTAGACGACGCTAACGTTGTTCCACTCATTGGAGATGTGTAAGAAGAAGGCTCTGATGACAATTGCTCCCACTCCAAATCTTGTACTACTGCAAATAATCTTCCTTTTGCAAGATGCTGATAGTAAGGGGAAAAAGATTTTATGGTGGCTGCCAAACCGTTGAAGAAAGCATCAATAGGATGAATGTCTTGTGTGTTGGACTTTTCTTTATTTTTTAGAATGTATTCCATTAATGCGCTTGACGCAGAGGACTGGGATTGTGGCACTATACGACGGCGATTGTGTGCAGTTGCAACGGTTGCATTGCGATTGCGGTTGCCGGAACGAGTGAATTGTGCAGTTGACGGGGGATATGGATTCGGATCAGCAGGTGGCGTAAAATTTGGTTCACTAATAGCTGGTGAGCGATCTTCCTGCTGCTGCTGTTCATCGGTGTTAATTGTTTCGTTGGGCGTAGTAACTGGCGAAGTAACCGTTTCGTTTTGCGTCTCTTCGTTCTCAGACTCGATACTTGTTATTGTATTTCGATCCTGTATATGAGGCAGTAAAAAATTCAAGCTCTCTTCATAATTATATTTTTTATTGCCACAGCACCCTGTCCACTCTTGGTTTTACGTTTGTTTCTATGTTTTTTGAACTGGTCCCGTATGTTTGCCCACCTTTTTTTACATACATCGTCTGCAAAAAGATAGTATAGAATGAACAAGTTAAGTAATTTTCTTTACAACCTGTATAAATGGTACTGTTAATACGTAATAGCTCACTGTAGTACACAGATACCGCGAAATTATACCATTATTATTTTTTCAGGTTCCTGGCTACTGGGGATTCGTTTAAAACTATTTCGTACAGTTTTCGATTGGGGCATTCAACTGTGACCGAAATTGTACATAGCACATGTCGTTCATCTATCGTTAAAAGATTTAAGAAAGACGTTATACCAGAAGAACAGAACAGAAGAAATGTGGCGTAAAATTGCCGAAGATTTTGAAAAGCTTAGAGGTTTTCCAAATTGTATAGGCGCATTGGATGGAATATATTTTAATTATAAACACACATTCTCAATTGTTTTATTGGCGTTAGTGGACGCATGCTACAAATTTATTGCAGTTGATGTTGGCGCTTACGGACGAAACAGTGATGGTGGCATTTTTGCAAAATGTAATCTTGGAAAACGTTTAGAAAATGGGACGCTTCATGTACCTATTGGTAAAAATTTACCCGGTTCCTCTACGTTTGCACCATATGTAATAGTTGGTGATGAAGCGTTTCCTTTGAAAACATACCTAATGCGAACGTATCCAGGACACCAAGCAACAGATGACGCTAATAAAACGAATTTCAATCATAGACTGTCTTTGGCCCGGCGACTAGTCGAAAATGCCTTTGGTATTTTGACACAAAGATTTAGAATATTTCAAAGAAGAATGAAACTTGCTCCAGAAAATGTTGATTACATTATTCTATCTACATGCGTACTGCATAATTTTTTATGCGAACAAAAAGATTACACAGGGCTTATCAATCATAGTGCACAAAATGCGCAACCACATTTATTAAATCCATTGAGCGTTCAACCAGGAAGACCGGCTAATGATGCATTTGCGGTAAGAGAAACGTTTAAAGAATATTTAGCGTCAACAGCGGGACGTAATTTTATAGGACAACAGTATCAAGAATAAATACATACTTACACTATAATATACTTCTTATAATTTACCTAACATATTCTAAAATACCTACTAAAAACCGATAATCCCACTCACATGTACTTACATTTTGTCGTAAAGTAATTAGTGACACTTGATTAACTATTATAAATGTAAATTGAAATAAAAGTTACAACTTACCAGATTGTTTTATTTCGTCCGAAATGGTTTTCCAAATAATATTTTTGTATTATGTAAATATGTTAGTATGTATATGTTATCTAAATACTTAGGATGGCTCATATCGTAAATCACAGGGTACTTGCGCACACATTCTAATAATTTTTCATCGTCCATTTTGCTGTTGAGCTGCTCACTTCACTAAGATTTGACGTTGACTGCTCTCCGGGCGCCCGGGCGCATATGTTCATGTTACAACGTGTCGGGGCCGGAGCGTGCCGGAGCCGGGAAACAATACCCACCGACATTTCAACGCCGTGCCACGGTCAGGCATGAATCGCTTCATATAAAAAGTACACCATAATGTTTGACCGTGCCCCGGCCGGGGCATGGCCCGGCCGCGCCACGTTGTAGCGTGAATCATCCTTAAGGAGTAACTTAGGCTACTTTTATTTTAGGAAAGGAATTGGGGTTCCGCCCAAAAAAATATTAAAATGCATAAAATCTAATCCTAATAAATTCCACACGGGAGAGATTAAAATGCATAAAATCTAATCCTAATAAATTCCACACATGCTGCAGCTATATTATGGTTGTAGCATGAATGGGTCAGCTCGACCGGGGAAGGACCACGCTCTCAAAGAAAACCAGCGTAAAATAGCAGCTTAACGCTGCTGTGTTGGTGTATGGTGAGTGTAGAGAACCAGAGACCCTTTTTACTGGCAAAGAGGCATGCCATCTTAGTCCTCACGGGTGACAACGCATCTGCATCTTGAGTCTATTGAGGATAGATGTAGATGTCTATGGGTCACAGTAACCACTTACCATCAGGTGGACTGTGTGCTCGTTTGTGACCCGATCCTATAAAAAAGAAATCGCCATCCGGTATTCCTATTTTCTCTTCCAAAATAAGAAATTTTTCAAGAATAATAAAATAATATATTTGTATTCGGTAAAGATTGTGGCTGTGTGTTTCCCATTACATCCCTCATTTCCCTGTTTGTTGGATATTCAATAAAAGTGATATGACTGGACATTTTAGGTAATTTTTGAAGGTTTCTTGATTTTAAAATAATAAATTTATGGAATAAAATGGAGTAGATATAGTAGAAATAGATGGTATTTAAAAATTATTTGTTCGGGTGTCATTATTCAAGGAGAAAACAGTAATATGTTATGTTACATAGACTAAACGCCGTCCGAAGTTCTCTTCAGAGGAAACTAAAAATCACTCTAACAAGAGTGATTTTGAAGAGATGAAGAAGTTTTCAGTAGAATAAAAGTAATAATGACATGGTCAATAATTTCACTGAAGTGGCAATTTCTTGTCCATGTCAATACTCAATAGTTTATTGTTTTATGAAGAAGGCAGTTGGTTCAGGACCATGCTTTGTGGAATGAGGAAGGCCAATGCTCTGCAGTGGAACAAATAAATAAATAAATAAAATATAAAATGAAACAATTGGACACTACCATTCTCGTTGATGGCGAGACTGTATGTAGCACCGCAGTGTACAGAGCGCACTCCTCGTGCCTGCGATTCGAAGTACTTGATAAGGCGTGGGACGCTTTCGTCCTTTTGCTCCGCATGTCCAAGTCGACCAAAGCCGCCGAAACCCCAACTGTACGCGCGTTTTTTGGAGTCTATAGCCACCTGATAACAAAAAAAAAATAGTTGTAGATTTAATTTGTCTACATAGCACTGCTTAGTAGAAGCTTTCTCACCTTTTAAAAAGGGACTAACTATTGCTAGGTATTCAAATGTCTGAAAATGCCAACTTCAAGCGTTTTATCGAATCCAAGGACAACAAGAGTCTTCTATTCCTGGTGTAGAAATTCATAACCAAAAAAATACTTATTTTATAACATAACTAAGTGTTTAGGTGACAGGATAAAGAGTTCAAGAGGATCTTCTATATTAAGATATATTTCAATATTCATATTAAATGTGATATATTCGAGTTGCTTTTGTTACGAATATTTATATGATTCATTTCATGTTATCTAAATAAAAAAATGACTCATGAACACTAATTTCTAAATTAAATAATTTTTAACACAGCCGCAAAATGTATCCCGTACGAAATTTCAAAATACATTAACAACAACTTGAGTTTTATGTCAGCATGTCTTATCAGGTCCTCACTCTTATCTAGTAGTGGGCCGTCTTACACTCCGCTTAGCCGCTATGAGACTGCAGTCTAGAACGTTTCTGAACTATGTGCTATGTCGGATACTTAGTCTCCTACAGATATCATTGTTACAGATTATATCAAGCAGAGAAACTCTGAGCATAGCTATCTCCATAGCTTGTGACTTCATACATATGAAGTCTCTCATACATGTCATACATGTCCTCATCTGGCCAGAAGTGAAAGACTCCTCAGAAACACATGTCAACAACAATTCAGCAACTATTTTGTTTTCAATTTTTGAGGTATACGTAATGAAATTATGTGTCATAACCTCTCGAATGCTGCTCAGCTAAGTTAAATCCGTCGATTGCATAAGAATAAGACCACCACACTTCTGTTCCACGCCTCCAGAGTAGATCCACCATAGAACATAGAATTGAGCAGGTTCTGAAGGACTTAAAGTATCGATTATCCGCCTGCTTTCAGAACCACCAAAGTCCTAGGTCGCTGGCAATACTACTGTTGCAGTCAGTCAAGTTGTGAAATTTGGCACTTTTACGCAGACAGATTTCTGATAACGACATTGGAGCCTTGGTTCAGCACTATCGATTTTCCAATGTAACTGTATAAAGTTACATGAATTTCGGAACATACATTAAAAGATCTGTCTTTGCAGTTGCTTGCATGCTGTTATTGCAGACTGCAGTTTTATTTCCCGTCGCCATGTGATTAAGAAGGTTATCGAAGTTTTTGATTTTTCTACAACGGGTTTTGCAAAAGTTAGCTCTTACCAAATGGACAGTTTCCACGAACTTGTCACATCCTCCACTTTATTACAATCTTCTAGGCACTAAAACGATTTTGTTATTTGAAATAAGAATTTTCAATGGTTTTGATTAAAGCACGAGGGGAATAGAACATTGACTTCATTATGTGTGACCTCTCTCCATCTTTACGTAAAATTTTGTGTACATGTAGACAATATTTGGTGATTCTAAGGACACACTGAACTGTTCACTTAGTTGTCATAATGAAGTCAATCATATTGTAGGTGTAACTAAGCATAGCATAATGGTATTTTGTGATTTTAAATATAAGGTATGCAACCCTTGTCGATATACTCTTTCATCTTGTTCACGTTGTTGATGATAGCTTTACGGATAATAAATCCAACACCTTGGGATAGATGATGGCTCCCCCGGCGATAGAACAAGATGCCGGATTCGAGGATTAAAGTGTCCTTACCCTGTATTTCGACCTCAATATATCCTACATATCCCAATACAACTTGTCAACCTCTTTTTCCAGCTCCAGAAACTTCTCTTTAGTTCTCAGGGAATGTGCATTCTCAAGTTGAGTAGTCTAAGGAGGAAATCGAATCTCTGAAAATTCATAGCACCCCACACCGCCATTGCTATGGTCATCTGGTCATCAGCAAAACTAGGCATAGTGATACCATTGTGTTCGATTTTGTGTACCTTACATGTAAAAAATATTTTCAAATGATATGAAATCCAACAACTAGACTAAAAATCACCCACACTGGAGTGGGTCCCAGACTTTTCTAAACCGGTAATATAAAATTGTGAATTGTCCATTATGAAATTCATAAATATTAGACTTCTTCTTCTTCTTCTGCCGCTGGTTCTACCAAATAACAACTGATAGCTTTGAACTCGGTGGAATGGCGAGCTACAGGGCTTGAGGGTTTGCAATCCTTTTTTAAGCAAAACTCTCTAGTTAAAGTAATCAACTACTAACTATTAACGAGTCTGACCTCTCACTTTCGCTAGTATATGCTAGAGCTGCACTTTTTAATTCTTCCTTCCTTTTTCCACCATTTGTCAATATGAACGAAATATGAAGGAATCACATCACACCAAAGGATTCAAGTAACGGTTAATTTGGTTTCTCCAAAAAACCTAGAAACTTACCAAGTGGTAAGTTTCTAGGTTTTTAGTTTTTAATCGAATCCTGGCCTATTTATCAATATAAAATTATGGTACGCAAGCAACTCGGTTTACATCCCTGCCAACACCAATAATATTCTTGATGGCAAATTCCAGTACGCCAGCATAGAGAATAAGTTTTGGTGAAATTCAGGTTTCTCCCAAGCATGAGATAATTGTTTAACACTGGAACATATTGTGTCGCATGTTTCTTAACACAATTGTGAATTATTGGTGACATAAATGCTTTTAATACAATTTTTATTCTTATGTGGTCCGCGAATGATGAACAAATAGGAAATGTATCTTAGCCCTGTAACTGTAGGTGTAACAGTTCTTTTCGTACACCTACACTCGCAAGGTGCAACGACACAACGTGCGAACGCACTCACACAACGATTGGATCGGTCAGTATGTCATTCGGACTCTTGTCTGAAAGAGCCGACCAGAAGACCAAAATGAAATTTTTAGTAAGGAATAAACGAAGCCATTTTTAAATATTGTTTGACGAAACTGAGTACAAAAAGTGGATTTCTAGAAAATCTAAAAAGACATATGCCCATTAAGCACCCGAACATATCTTTTAATATAGAACGACAACCTGCTGCTGTTGTAGAAGAGCCACAAGATAGCATAATAACTTCGCCAAACCCACACTCAGGCACACCAGCCACATTTAGGCAGCCGCTTAGTGTGCCATCAATTACTAATTTCATTAGGCAACCACCATCTTTGCGAAAGACTCAACAAATTGATAGGCTAGTGGTGGCCATGGTGACTAAGGAACCAGAATTTAAAAAAGTTATTGACTTGGTATCTAGCTGTCAGTGTTACCAACTTCCGAAAAGAAAAACATTATCACAGATAGCAGTCGCTCATACCCAAATTGTACACAGAGGTTTTTGATTCTTGTTTCCATAATTTAAAAGAAGCCTAACCAGCCTTGCACGGCAGTTAATATGGTGATTAATAAAAGCACAGAGATGCAATCTATTTTGTTAGGCTGTATCAACTACAACGAGAAGCATAATAGTGCTAATTTGATTGTATTTTTAAGACAAGTAATCCATTTTCAATCCACTGGCAGCTATCGCACATAATCTGTTGTATAGTCAGTGATAACGCTGCTAACATTTTATCAGCTGTTAGGTTAGGAAAATGACTATCTGCTTCGCTCATTTATTAAATTTAGCAATACAGGACGGCATAAAAACAATTGCTGACATGGTTGTTCAAGTTAAAGTTCCAGTTCATTTTTTTTTAAGTTCTCTGTAGCACAATCTAAATTAGAAGTTACCCAATGGCAAATGAATGTGCCACTTTTAAAACTAAAGCAGGAATGTCCAACGCGTTGGAATATACGCTAAGATACGCTAGAACGCATATTAAAAATCAAAGATGCCGTTACCAGCACCGTAGCCCTAATATGAAGCAACCTCAGCCTTCAGAGTAGGAGTTAGTTGAAAAGAATTGTACCAATTCTTCAGCCTTTCTATGACGTTACCCAAGAAATAAGCTCCGAAAAAGGTAAGCTTATCAAAACACCTTATATTTACCAAATTTATGTCTCAGCACATAGTAAATTGCTTGGCCCAAAACAGTCAACACCCTGAATGCCCCAATTTGTTATGTAGACTAAAAAACAATCATGTCCGTTTTAATGATTTGGAGTACCACGCGTTATATGCTAAAACAGCAATTTTGAAACCACACGTAGCTGGCACAACAAATAACACCCGCTGGTTGTACAATCTAGTTTTGAGGTTTTGAGGTATGTCTGACGAGAAGATGTGTCGTAATAGTAATCCCGAACGCTGCCTGGGTTAAATAATATTAATTATTATTATTTAAATTTTTTTGCTTACTGTATGGTTATTTCCACAGGAAAAATCGACTATATCCACATCCTTTACTGGCGTGACGTGACCATCTTTGGATTTTTCGAAGAAAAGTGCGATGTGTTTGGGGACAGTCTCAAAATGAAATGACAGCTTTGTAGATGTCAAGAAGTATTTACCATCGGTGTTGTGTCCTGAAAACATTACAGAAAAATTTACCTGGATGGTTTATGGTATTCTTTCTTCATTATCTGTTTATAATATTCCACTTATGGAATTAGACCTCTTGCATTGCAGGAGTTGCTTTCTCACCATGCTTGGCAGGCAGGCGGACTGTGTATGTATCATCATTTTCAAATGTTATAAAGTTTTTCCCATGGTCGCACTTTACGACACTGAGGTAATGAATTCCCCCATAGATAGTTTTTTTAATCATTATAAAGCAATGCTTGACTACAATCTCACCTGGTAGTAAGTTGTGATGAAGCTTACTCACTCTTGCCTTGAAGACTTCCACATTAAAATGGAATGTAAAAACAGACCCCGGCACATTATTCCACTCCATTGTTTGCTTCGTCTTTCGTATGATGCATTACAAAAGACAAAGCAAACAATGGAGTAATGCGTACAGATGCATTACAAAAGACGAAGAAAACAGTTTGGTTAAAATGCATGAAATATCCACTACAAAGTGAGGACCTGCCTGGCTGTTCTATGATGGAAAGGGGAGGTAAGAATTAAGGCATGTAATACCTGTATACAGTCTCTGAAATGCATCCTATTGAATAACAAGAGACTGACTACGCTGCGCCTGTGACCAAGGCTTACGTCGTTGGTTTCAATCAACAAGGTTACCTACCATCAAAGCGACTAAACATATACATGTTGTGTCTCTACTTTGTCCAACAATGCTAGGTGGCATTTTTCAGCACCAGCCCATATATGACAGCAGTATTCTATGCACGCTCAGACTGGCGCTTTATATAGGTAAGAAGCTGCCCCGGCATGAAGTACAGCAGCACCTTTACAAGGAAACCTAGTTTTCTTAAACTTGCTTTGGCTCTGAACTCAATGAAACGCCTATAGTTGAGAACAAACTCAACAAGTGAAGTAATACTCCCTAAAATACATCCTAGAAAATAGAATCAAAGGTGTTAATGTGTCAATTAGAAGTGAAGAGATATGCTTGTGTTTTGGATGTGTTAAATTTCACAAGATTGGCATCACTCCATTTGGAGACTGCCTGCAGTGAGAGATTCGTATGTTAAACCATAGATTTTTCTTTCAGACTGGATTTTATCTGACTGGACCGAGCATTGATCTGGTACCTCTCCACAAATGTGTGTGTCTTATTTATATATATATATATATATATATATATATATATATATATAATAGCTGGCCAGGCAGACGTTGTTCTGCCCTTTCCGACCCTTCCTATGAAAAATCCTTAAATTCGCAATAAAAAAATTTTGAAGGTCCACTTATCATGATAAAAACTATCCTATCTCTCAAGTTAGACCGAACTGCAGTGTGCAAAATTTCATTGAAATCAGTTCAGTAGTTTAGGAGTTCATCGCGGACAAATAATGTGACACATAGTTTTTATATATAAAGAAGATATATATATTTGCAATTGCAATGATTGAATGAAATTTTGAATATTGTGTGCAGTTTGGTCTAACTTGAGAGATAGGATAGTTTGTATGCCTATAAGTGACTCTCAATATTTTTTATTAGAAATTTAAGAATTTTTATAGGACACAGGGTCGTCGAAGAAGGCAGAACAACGTCTGCCTGGCTAGCTAGTATATATATAATTTTTCTGTCCTTTTGTCATATGTTTGACTGAACTCCTTCTAAACAAGCAGGACCAATTTTGATGAAATTTTGTGTATGTAAGTCATTAAGTTGATTCGAGAATGATTTAGATTCACAAATGGGCCCGGTAGTTGGTGTTGTTGTAAAGATTCAGAAATCAGCCGTGTGAAGCCGGGGCGAATCGCTACCATATATATATATATACATATAAAATACTAATACTTATAGATACCAGGCATTAGCAGATCATCAATTAGTAGTTAATTACAGATTAATGTTTGGGCATATGTAGTTTTATTTAAAAAGGAAGAAAATGTATACCTAATTGGCCGTATTCTGGCAATCCAAATGAATGAAGTGCCCCATTGCAGTCCAGTATCATTGAGAATTCGGCGCCACATCCTACTTTCACGATAGGTGCTCCACTAAAAATCATAAAAAATACTAAATATCTTCCCATGTGTCGTAATAGTTCTTAATAATTATACATACTTAAAAATTATCTGGCATAAACTTTTTCCTTCATAATTTCTGAACATTTTATTCTCACTGAAAATTTAATAAAAGGCTGTAGAAAATTTTATTTTGTAAAATCAATTAAGACATCGCTAAAATCTACTTTAAAACTCAATTTAGAAGTTAATTAAAAAATAAACACATGAAGTATGTATATTTTTTTAAATTATTTAAGGTTATTTTAAAAAATAGCCTTTTAAGAAATTTTCAAAGAGGATTGTACATATGTATTAAATATGACAATATGGCAACAAAACAAATACTAACGTGTGTCTCACGCGTATGGGTTTTAGGATCTGAGGCGTGGTGTTGCCAACGCCACATTGGCCGCTTTTATTGTCGCCACAAGCGAACACTGCTCCTGTATCTGTATTTCATTTGTTTAATTATGTATATTACAATATTGTCGAATATTAATTATGCTATAAATAGAACAGGTGGTAAATATCATGGGATAAGCAATCAATTGCAGGACAAGAAATGTCGGAGAAATTAAAAATTTCGAGGAAGTCTGCCAAGTCAGCCAGCGCGGCATACACTTTCTCTCAGTGATGAAAGTACGAAGACGTACATTTTTTTTATAGAATAAGGGTGATAAACGAGCACACACTCCACCTGATGGTAAGTGGTTGCTGTGGCCCATAGACATCTACATCTATCTTCGTTTGCGAATTAAAATGCAGATGCTTTGTCAGCCATGAGGACTAAGGCTGGTTTCACAGCTGTACGGGAGTCCAGTGCGGTTAGCCCGTAATGCGGGAGACCCCTACGGGTAGCGCCCGCAGTGCTCTGAAACGAGTGTTTAGTACGATACGGGTGCTAGCGGAAGACAGTCGCAAATGAAAATGAATGCGAACGTATTAAAAATTCGTGGTATTTATTTAATTTGTGAGAAACGACGACGTCAGAGAAAGAGAAAGAGACTATGGGTACATCCCATCATCGAAGCAAGATGTTTCGAAAGTGCATTTGTAACCTTAAACCATAAACTTAGGAACGACCCGCGCAAATTTTTTAATTATTTTCGCATGTCGATTAGTAGTTTTGATGAACTACTACTATCCAGGTTGGAGAACAGTATAAAACATCAAGACATATTTCGTGCTGCTATAATACCCCGTGTCGATTAATCGACTCATCTCGATTGTACTCACGGAGCACGGGCGCTCCGCATCGCTGTGAAACGATGAATGTGCAGCGGTGCGCTCACGTCTAAATGTACGAGGTACGGGTGCGGGACACGGGTGGTGTTGTACGGGCTCTACGCGGAGCCAGTCCCGTACAGAACAATCCGCGTCGCTGGGAAACGATGTTAAAGCGCCTCACGTCTGTCTCCGCTCCATACAGCTGTGAAACCAGCCTAAGATAGAATGCCTCTTTTTCAGTAAAAAGGGTCTCCAGTTCTCTACACTCACCATACGAAACACAGCAGCATTAATCTGCTATTTTACGCTGGTATTCTGTGAGAGCGTGGTCCTTCCCCGGTCGAGCCTACCCATTCGTGCTACAACTATACTATTAATATAGTTGCAGCATGACTCTACCACATATCAAACACAGGCTGTAACTTTAAAATATAAATAACCCAGTATTTATTTATTTTTTATAGAAGAGGGGGCAAACGTGCATGCGGCTTACCTGATGGTAAGTGACTACCGCCGCCCATGAACAACCGCAACACCAGGGGAATTGCAGATGCGTTGCCGGCCTTTTAGAAAGGTGTAAGCTCTTTTCTTGAAGGTTCCTAAGTCGTATCGGTCCGGAAAATTCGCTGGTGGTAATAGATTCCACAAGGAAGTTGTGCGAGGGAGAAAACTTTTTCTAAATCGCACCAGTGGTGGACCGCTAATCATCCAGATGGTATGGATGGTAACGCGAGTTTTGTCGCGATGTGCGATGGTGAAATTGAGCGGCTGGAATTAGTCCGAACAATTCCTCAGAGCACTTCCCGTGATAGATGCGATAAAATACGCAAAGAGATGCAACATCTCTACGCAGTGTCAGTGTATCGAGCCGATCAGAAAGAACTCGGTCGTCGACGATTCGAACGCTGGATGCGGTCAAGTGGAAGGAGCTGGCACTGGGGTGCCCCGGCCTAGAGATGAGAACAGTATTTCATGTGCATTCATTCAAACAATTTCAATAAATTTATGTAAATCGAATTCTAGTCCTCACAAGTGACAACGCATCTGCGTTTTGATTCGTAATCGAGGATAGATGTAGATGTCTATGGGCCACAGCAACCACTTACCATCAGGTGGACTGTGTACTTGTTTGTCACCTTTGTCCTATAAAAAAAAAAGACATGGCCCTGTCTGATGTCCGATTTTGTCATACCAGCTCGTCACTTCATTTTAGTAGGGGACCCTGCACTTACCCAAACAGTACAAGGCTGCTATTTGAAACCTTTCTTCTTTATCAGTAGTTTGCCAAGCTATATGGCCAAGCCATTGCCACAGTTAAATAATGTTGGATATAAATTATTTAAATATTTATAGTTTTTACCCCCGACGCAATAGGAGAGGTTTTATAAGTTTGACAGCTATGTGTGTGTGTCTGTCTGTCGGTGGCCCAGTAGCTCTCATACGGGTGAACCAATTTGGGTTTGGCTTTTTTTGTTTAAACACAGGATTTCTAGCAGTGGTTCTTAGCTGTCTTATCAAAAACGGTTCAGCCATTTCAAGGTCATCAGCTGTTTTGTTACCTGTGGTAGGGTTCGCTTACGGGATGATATAGGGTAGTAGATTCTCTTAAGCCGACATTGCTAATATTGTTCTTAATAAAAGTTTGAACTACATGTTACATAATTTAAAATTTAGTTCAACCAACTTCAATATATATTATTAAGGATAACTCAAAAACTATTGACCAGACATTGATCAAATTGTGAGACCACACGAGAAGCGACAGCTTTCAAATAAAAAAAAGAATCATCAAAATTCGTTCACGTATAACAAAGTTATGAGGTAACACACATTAAAGAAACAGTTGAATTGGGTACCTCCTCCTTTTTGAAGTAGTAGTAGTAGTAGAAAAGTAACAAATTTTTTAAATATTAATCAAAGTATGATTTCTAAATATCTATTTATAAAAAACGTTACACTAGGATTTTCTCCTGTCCAAATCTACCTATCTAACAATTATTTAGTAATCCATACAAACACTTATACCGTGAGGGATTCGAACCTGCGAACCCGCATCACCACAAAGCATCTATTTTTCCACTAAAGCATAGGTATGTATAATATAGTGTAGTGGTAAAGAAAGTAGTCAAAACAATAGACAAAACACACTAACCAGTAACAAACAGTGAATGGTGTCTGCCCACTGCAGCATGAATAATATTCATGCCTTTTAGAGCTGGTACAGCTTCAGGTACATTACGGGTAACCGTGTCACCAAATCCCAATTGACCACAAGTATTACGTCCTAAAAATAAAGTACTTAAATTACTACAGGAAAAGAAATTACAGTCCTTGACTTCTGAAGCTATTATGTGTAAATTATTTTATTTTATTTAGTTCTTTGATTTTAGCTTTTACTCTTTGTTAAGTCTTATCTTTCGACTGTGTTTTGTCAACTGCGAACTATGAAGTGCTCGAATGTCGTCTAAATAGTTACATTTAAAACTGCATCTACTATATTTTCTCCAAATATGCATATATGAAACCACCCCTTAATTATAATCAATTTAATAAAAGAAACATTAAAATTCTTAAAAAATTGACAAAGATATTGAGTAACATACATAAAAAAATAATAATATAAAAGTTTAAAAAAACGTAACATGCATTAATCATGAGCTGTGACGATCCTCATAATTATGTTATTTAATCCTGGTGATCCTGATCAGGATAATAGCATAAAGTTATTTAATTATTGTATTGCAAACTTTCAAGTCAATCGGCCGTCTAGAAGTTGGTGAAAATTCCATTAAAAGATTATGTTACACTGATACGCGTGAAGCAAATAAGAGCGTGTTTAAAAAACGTATACTTAAATTGAGATCCTCCTCTATCTTAAGTTGGTTAAAAAGTGGGTTAATTTTTATTTCAATTCATTCATTACAAGCTATCAAAGTTAAGTGCCTTCATACTCCTTAACATAGATTGCTTCTTATTAATGCCATAGTTGCCACACTTCACGATTGGCAGGCAGGTGCGTTTGCAACCTGAGGTTTTATTTTTACATTACCTAGTCTGTTCCCCTTTGTTCCCCACTCATTTCCTGGTTTGTTTCCTTCTTATATGACATTCGCCGGACGATATAGGGTAGTGGATATCCTTACACTACTTTATTAATATAGTGGTAATTATATTTCTATATCTTCACTTTTTTCTATTTGAAATTCGTGTTATAAACGTAACTCGGCACGACGTTATAAGTCAGCAGTGATAGAATATCGATCGACACCTATGTAACTATGTAATTTCTAATTCAGTTAAGCCTAAGGACATACCAAGTTATTTAAAACAATCTCAACAAATTTCCTGTCCACGAAAAAGTAACAATAGCTAGTTAAAAATTCACAAATGTTTATATATATCTCTGTTCCATGTCAATACTCACGGGGCAATGAAATGGTTAATAGTGTAATTTTGGTGAAGGTTGAAACTTTTTATAGTTTCATGAAATACATACCAAAAGTATAAGCCTCGCCCTCTTCAGAGACCAGTATAGAGTGGCCAGCACTACATCCACTTACTATCAGACGGTACTGTAATATACAAAATTGCAATCAACGTCAATGCTACTGAATCTACCCAAAATATATATATTTAAGAACTTTTCACAAATAAAAAGTAAAGAAACTAAACTTAATTATTAAACGGATAAACCTATTGGTATATTAAGAAGAAATTCGAGGGATTTTATAAAAAAAAGTACAAACACGGTCCTAACTCTTTGGCAGTATAAATAAACTGTAAGAACTGGTTAGAACTGTAAAACATGAATATCTTCAAGATAACTAAAAAAAGAAAATGAACATTTATACTATAATAATGGCTAAAACACAATAACAACCCCGAAACTAAACAGTCTATTACTTGGAACAGATCATCATCTCCAAAAAAAACACCACTTCCTCGAAAAAATCTTGACCTGGGAAGAACCAGCAAGAAACCCAGGCCTTTTTTAAAAGATTAACTTACTTTTTTAATTATTAAAATATGTATACAATTAAATATAAAATCATTTATTGATCATTTAGTAATTCGATCATTCCCAGGAGTCACTATCAATCAAGCATTCTTAAACAGTATAACAACCCTTTTGAAACGACTTTAATAAGCCCGCAGGAAACAGTTATAGTAGTAAGATCACCATTGCGATCACTGGAATACGATAGGCTCGCTTTCAAATACTTAAACATCCTTCATATTTACCAGACATTACATCTATTAATTTATATCTATTTCCGAGATTGAATGAGTATCTGAGAGGGCAGAGATTTGAAGTAGATGAAGCAGCAATCGTTATAGGAATATTTAAGTGTAATATAATATTTAATAGAAGTTACTAGTAATATACCATTATCACTATTTTTGAACACTTTAGTACACAAATGATATAATAATTAAATTTTATACACATAGATTAATATTGAATTTCATAATTTAATTTAAGTAGCAGTGTAAATAACTTTAAAAAAAATGAAAAGATACCTTGCAATCAGTAAACTTATGAAAGGTGTACAGATTTGGGTGTGTGCGTTTAGAGGGGTTGTTGTCTCTCTTAGCCACCAGATCCCAGGATACAAGTCCAGAAATCAGCAACACACCGGGTGTTTTGTAGAATGTCTTCAGTAACTCCTGCAACACATAAATTATTAATATCATGTAATGGCCGTATAGTAGAGGCGTAAGAGATTTCACTAAAAACCTCATATCATTCCGTGGGTGTCGTAAGATGCGATAGAGCAAAATGAAACAGATGAACATTAGCACCTTTCTGAAAACTTAAAATAATAAAAAAACTGCGGTTACTAACCTGCCTGCCAGGTGTGACAACCATAGCAAATATCAACCTTATAAGAAATTCTATAGGGAGGCCTATGTTTAGCAGTGGACTTTTTATAGGCTGTACTGATGATGATGACGAAGAATAATGTAAAGATATTTACTAAATGCATTCAAAAAGTCTTAAATTTTATCACGCATACTATCTATTTTTACCTCTGGTAATTTCAACATTGGATCATCAAAAATAGGTGAAGGTGTCTTTGGTGGTTCTTGCAGTGCCTGGTCTGATAGAGATGACTCATTGCTTTCTTCATCCTCAGAAAGCGGCTTGCGTGGTTTTTTGCCCTTGGTAAGACGCCCCGAAGTCAAGGCTGTGCGTTTGCGGCTGCCATTTTTTGACATTATGTTGACCTGACGATGTTATTGGATCATATTTACATTTTGTAACAGTTATCTTTGTACAAAAATATCATTGAGTTTCAGCTAGAATTTATTTATTTCCATAAAGCATCGAAAAAGTTAAAATAAACTGCAAATAGTATGCATATTTTCATTGATATCTTTATCAATTTAAATAATGATACTAAAGGTGAGATGTGTGCTGAGTAATTTTGGTGCAAAGTGGAGGGTTTACCTCTCTCTGCCTTTGTGATGCATAAAATTAAACAGTAGATCCATAAATTTTGGTATAATGACATAGTTTTTCATATATTAATCATGTTGTTCAGGTTTTCGAGTCTGCAATCAGTTTAGAAATCATAGTTATTAGCTTAGAGAAGCTAACAGAAATACTGTAAACACTTCGAAGAGTATGATATGCAATATTGCCACCAACCTCATTAAGCTAGACTTTGTTAAATATATGCCTATACCTACAAGCCTTTAGAATTCAATACAATTCTTTATTACATAGTAATTTCTCTGAAGTTGCATAGAATAGAATAGAATAATTTTTATTTAATATATATTACATGTGTAATTCTTATTGAAAGTCATTTTTTACTTTACCACTGGTTCAGAAACCCTCTGTCCTGGGAAGAACCAGCAAGAAACCCAGCGGGACTTTTTTTAAAAATAAATTTTACAATATAAATGATTACGAACTATTTACAAAATTTATTTTAGAAACTGCTTGGAAGCGACCACCTCATTCCCAGGGGTTATTATCAACCATGTATTCATTTATACTATAATAACCCTTTTTATACAGTTTCAGCTTAATAAAACATTTAAACTTGGCAATAGAGAGAACCTGTACACTTTCCGGGACCTTGTTGTAATAGTGTATACATTGCCCTAAGAATGAATTATTGTAATAGTGTATACATTGCCCTAAGAATGAATTACTAACTCTGTGGAGTCGAGAAACTGGCATCACTAGCTTGTGTTTGTTCCTAGTGTTTACAGAATGTATATCACTTTTTTTACTAAAACTATCTTTGTTTTTGTGAACATACATTAAATTTTTGTAAATATACTGAGAGGCCAAAGTTAATATAATTTATTTCTTTAAATTTATCTCTAAGGGACTCTCTCGGTTTTAAATTATAAATAGCTTTAATGGCCCTCTTCTGTAAAACAAAAATAGTTTCTGAATCAGCCGCATTTCCCCATAGCAAAATCCCATAAGACATTATGCTATGGAAATAACTGAAATAAACTAATCTAGCTGTCTCGACACTAGTGAGACCTCTAATCTTTTTTACAGCATAGGCTGCAGAACTTAGTCTGCTTGCTAATTTGGATATATGGGGGGCCCCACTGAAGCTTTGCGTCGAGAGTGATGCCAAGAAAAACAGTGGATACAACAGGGCTCAATTCCTCCCCATTTAAAAACATTCAGATTTTATTATTTATTCAGATTTTTATATTTGTTATTGTAAATTTAACATAATTAGTTTCATTTCCGTTTAAATGCAGATTATTAACGTTAAACCAATGCTTAGTGCATTTTGATATAGCATTATTCACTTCGTCACATTTAAATGATTGATGTTTAAGTTTAAAAATCAAGGAAGTATCATCAGCAAATAATACTATATCATGAATATCCCCTACAAGGTGAGGTAAGTCATTAATATACACCAGAAACAGGAATAGGCCGAGAATCGAGCCCTGCGGGACACCCATTAGTACAGGTGACCCAGAAGAACTTTTACCATTGATAATAATTTTCTACTTTTTATTGCTTAAATATGAAATAATAAGTTTAAGCGCTGTGTTCTTGACACCATAGTACTGTAGCTTCCTGATTAATGTCTCATGGTGAACACAGTCAAAGGCCTTGGAAAGGTCACAAAACATACCCAAAGCATCCTCTGAATTCGCCCATGCACAAAAAATATGTTTAATAAGCTCAACTCCAGCATCAGTTGTCGAGCGACCCCTTGTAAAACCGAATTGATTTTAATGTAGCAATTTATTAATATAAAAGAAACTTAACATCTGATCTAAAATTGGCGGGGTCTAATGTACTACCAGATTTAAATATAGGTATGACTTTACTATGTTTCATTAAATCAGGAAACACACCAGATTCGACGCTTATATTAAATATAGTGGCTAGATAAGGTGCTAATATATCTATTATAGATAAAATAATTTTAACGGAAATCCCCCATAAGTCTGCCGTTTTTTTAACATCAATAGTTTTAAAATATTTAACGATATCTTTCGGTAGTACTATATGGAATTTAAAAGTATTTGAGCAAGCCTTTACATTTTGTTTGAGCAATGATTCGGCGACAGTAGGAGAAGAATTTAATGATTTTGTTGTCAAAAAAGGAACATCAGTAAAATGTTTCTCAAAAGCCATAGCAACTTCTTGATCAGATCGTGTTAAATTATTGTTAATATTCAATTGAAAATCCGAGTTGCGCGGTTTGACCTTGCCCTTTTCACTATTTATTATTCTCCAGGTAATTTTAATTTTGTTGCTTAAATGTAAAGCCTTAGCAGTGGAGCACACTTTTTTAAAATATTTTAGAATATTTTTTTACATAATCTCTAAATATAACACTACTATTATATGATCTTTCACCATAAAGCTCGTATAACCTTCGCCTACTTTTATTAATTCCTACTGTCGCCCATTCATTAAATGATTTGCGACGCAGATTAATGACAGACAAGTTTGGCCCGATAAATAACAATGAAGAAAGGTAAATTGTTTTTAAACGTTTTTTGTTAAGTCTAACACAGGTAAGCGCTATAATTGTAGAAAGCAGTTTGGTAAAAATTAAATAAATACCAGAACAAAATTTTAAATATTTTCATAATTTGCTTTAAATCTTTTATTGAACAGAAATGTTACAAAATTTGTTTAGTCTTCAATTCCTATTAAATTACAAATCTTTAAAACTGACTTCCTCATTATTAAAGTAGTCTTTGCAAAACCAGTTGTTTGAATCTCTGCAGTGTCTTAATAAATATACTGTTTTTTTAAGTTAGTGTTTTAACTCTCAAAGAAAAATATAGTAGGTACCTAGATAAAGGAAATTTCCTAATTGAAAATTCCAATGGTCACCTCAGGGGTTAGTATTACAGGGTAAAAATATAGTTGAAATAATTAATTTTTGAGATCATTGTGTGGATCATGAATTAAAAAGTATTTGGTTTCGCTTCACATCACTCACACTCATTATTGTTGCTTCGTGCCAAAATTAACAAATTGGATCAATTGTGTCAACAATATGTTGTGTTGTAGCATTCTATTGAGTTTTAACAGTTATTTGTGGTATTATTAGATTAGTCTATGAAAGACAAAACTATAAAGTCAATTTTCAAAGCATTTTATAAATATACCTTCTTTTTTAAACATGTATACTATGTTAGTTGTTTGTATTATTCAATTTATTAGTAACTGAAAGCAAAATATATTATGTACTTTTTTTGCATATGATAGATGTCACTGTTTTAAGAAGCTACAATGTAAATCATCAACGTATTTTCTAATTATTATACAAATTAAAATTTATATTAAACTTTATTTATTACTTCAGAGTAATTCCCAACTAACACTATTCCAAACATTAGTCAGAGCGAACTTAGAATGCCTATCAGCACCTTTACTACCCACTAAAACAATCTCAAAATTTATTATTCTCATAACCTTATTTATAGTCAGTATTTAATAAAAAAGATAATCTTGATAATAAACAGACCTAGTACTCTACATACCGACTTTCTGGGATATTATAATAGTAATAGTGTATTGTACTATGGTTAAATTACTGATTGTCGAGTTAAGAAATTAGTGTTATTATATTTAAACTTTAATACACATAATAGTTTGGCCTTAGCCGTATGGTGGATTTGTTGTCTATGGGCACATGCTCTTCCAGTCAAATATTGAACTATGCAGAGATAAAAGATGTGATGTAAGCAAAAAACTAAATAAACTACAATGTGTTCAGTGTGCTTAGGTTTTTTTTTCTTAGGATATTGAAATGTAAAAATCCTAGGTACTTTTAGAACAAAATTTCTTAGTTCTTGCTATATCTAAAGAGAGCTTTAATGGAGATTGAGAGTTAATTATACAAAAAATAACTGCACCAAAAATGAGAAATATACTATCTATGAGTACTTGCACATAAACCTCTAAAAAGACTTGACTCAAACTTTTGTCTAATTCTTGGTATTATCTGATATTAAGAAAATTAGACACTGATTGAGAATTTATGTAAATGTTACCCTCATATAATTTTTGCCTGTATCATGGAGGCAGTTTACATACATAAATTACACAAGGATACACAGGCGGACCAGCAATAATAATGTAGACTACACATTTGCTTCATACGGAATCAAAATTCGTGGCACTGCAGCATTGCACCCATTGTTTAGCCAATCCACTAAGTAGCCGTTAAATAAATAAATATATTTTTAAGAGTTATAGAAATTGTTCAAATAATCAACAATATATTCCATGTAATAATAGCTCTACTCCACATTTACTTTTTTATGTTTTAGAAATACTGACATAACTTCTTTTCTGTGAAGTTTTGAACTTGTTTATTAAAAAAAGAGGAACTTGTACAATAATGGCACATTTGTAATAAATTTGACTTTAACTTATGTTGCTAACTTGGCTATTTAGCTCAATGATGTAGCAGTCATGAACCAAAATGAAAATAATTATATTTTCAGTTACCCGGTGACTTAATCTGCCCATTTTATTTTTAATCCTGTATTAATACACTGTACTGTATTGTTGTAATACACAATGAGTAGAAAACAGGTTGGTGGTACCGTATTACACCAACGGGGTCATTATTACTTCAGTATAGAAATTAGTATTGTATTATAAATTATAATGTATACAAGCAATAACGTTTTCATATACACATTTTATAATAAATAATTTCAGTTTTGCTGGTTGGAAGGTTAAACATTTAAGTTAT